TGTTATGAAAACCCAGCCAGGTGTGCGAGCGTTCAAGAAAATACACTGCCACTCTAAAGTAGTTCATTATACCGTATAGCTCACTAGTTATAGCTGGTCAGTTCATTTTAGAATTTACCTCGCGCCTTGGAGCTAGTTACATTTAACCCATGGTAAAATATTCCTCAGGTCAGGTGGGGAGCGCCACTTCTCATTGCGGCATTGCGTCTTCCAGCCATTGTATTTTCTAGATAGTTGACTGGATGCAGACCCAGAGTGAACTGGTTAACTTGATAGACGCAGAAAGAGTCGACGCTTTGCAGAACTTCCACTGTAATTGGATTGAGTTTTGTGTGAATGCAGCGTATAGTTTTTTTGCATTGCAATCAAATGGAAATGTTCAAAAATAGGTGAAAGGTGCCCTTCCTCGGCGTTCCCACCACTGGTTGTTTTCTTCCCGAATCCTCTACCCAATCACTACTGATAGATGTGAAGACATCCGTCATCGCCGTTAAGCTCAAGACGTCCTTCAATGTTACTCCCAGCCACATTCAGTTGCATAAATTCTTGTGCTGCTTCGCTTGTATGCAAGCTTCTACAGGGTTCTGCTCGTGGTGGAAAACATCCCGATTACGGACATCGCCGCTGCGACACATGACCTATACTTTATTCATGATAATTATCAAGCACAGTTCGCTTTTAAATCGGCTCGAAAACAAGTGGATTGAGACCAGGATCAGATGTGATGTCCAGAGTATAGCACTTTAGTGGCAACTTTTAGATAGATGCGACTTCTGATCATTTGATGATAACATCGCTTCTTCCCAGTTCTGCATCATCTTTCGATAAGCACAAGTATCAAGAGCTCCCCACTCTACCACTGTAATTCTTCGGATAAAAAGGATAACGAAAATAGAATGAGAGGGAAAACATTGGCAAGGTCACCCTCCGCTGCTCCTCTTTTTGAAATCTGGTCAGAACCTCGAATTGTCGTAAAATTAGTCTCCATGGGAATACTGAACCTCATGGATATGACCATCATATTCGCTCAGCTCAAAACCAAGTAGCGTCAGCGCCGCAGGCGCCGCCAAAATACCTTCATTCATCAAATCAAAGCAGAAAAATAACCTAAAAAGTTTACTGCCAGTTTGACCTCCCGAACGTGAATCGCATCGTCGGTTGCCGCAAACCGCCGAAAGCACATTGAAGTATGGAAAGGATCTATGATGAAACATCAGAGTTACGATCAAAAACTAAAGCCGCATCTATCTTTGACTGTTACTGTACATTCCCCTTACTGTACATACCCACACCTCCACATTACACATTACGTGGAGCAAAAAGCACCATGGGGCTGCACTCCATGAAAGATTTATTTCATGTTATCACTTACTCAACAGGTTGCAACAAAAGTGGTCTCTAGAAAAACTGTACCTAGCTCACCTCCAAAGACTGGCGTTTCCACCTACGAGATGAGTAGGTCCGCAGCTGCAAGAAACTGAGCTAGAGAATAGTGATACACGGTGTTGCCCACCATACCTCGTACGGCTTTATACTCAAGGTGCAACATTTACATCGATGCGAAGGTCCCGCAGCGAAACACGTT